ACTTTTTATTTTTTTCCCACTGTTTTTTTTTTCTTTTTCTTCCAAGATTTTATTTAAATTCAAGTTAGTTAACATATAGTGTAGTATTGGTTTCAGGGGCTGAGTTTAGTGATTCATCACTTACATACAACATATTTTTTAAGAAAATAGATGCATCCACTAACTAAAATAAAGCTGATACACCTATACTATCAACAGAAATGTAGACTGTAAAGTATGAAGTTCTAGTACAGGTATAAAAAGAGATTTATAAATATCAAAAATGCAATCCACTAGTAACAAGTAATAATTATACATTTATATGTACCTAATAAAAGAATTCCAAAATGCGTAAGTTAAAATTTGACAGGGTACCTGGGTGGCTCCGTTAGTTAAGCGTCCAAGTTCAGCTCAGGTCATGATCTCGCGGTTAGTGAGTTCGAGCCCCACATTGGGCTCTGTGCTGACAGCTCAGAGTATGGACCGGCTTCAGATTCTGCATCTCCCTCTTTCTCTGCCCCTCCCCTACTCATGCCCTCTCTCTCTCTCTCTCTCTCTCTCTCTCTCTCTCTCTCTCAAAAATAAACATTAAAAAATTAAAAAAAAACTGACAAAACTAAAGGGAGACTAACGAACCTATAATTAAGGTGGAAAAAATGTATCCTACTAAATAACTGTAAAACAACATGATTGGTAATCTTGGTTGACCTATATAACACTACACTCACAAAATATTTTAAAAAGTTATTTCTTAAATAAATAACATTATCACATTATACTTCCAACAAGTATTTAAAAAAAAAAAAGGATTGAAAGAATTCAAGGTATTTAAATAAAATCAAACTAAAAAATTAACAATAATTTAATTATTGCCAAACTATTTGGAATTTAAAAAAATATATTTTATAATTTTTAAACTTTTAAAAAATATGCTCTAATCTAGATTGGATTAAGGTAGAATACCTTTAGTGAAAAGTATACAAATCAAAACATACAACTTAATCAAGAAGTGTTTTTTAAAACATGAATACACATGTAACTAGCACCTAAATCAAGCAAGAGAATGCTACCAGAAGCTTCATTGTGCCATACATTTTAGTAATTCAAAGGTCAAAGGTGAAATCGCTGTTGACATTAGATTAAAATTTGAACTAAATAATAAGATATGACCTATCGAAATTTATGGAATGCACTAAAACTAAGCTTAGAAATAGTTTACATCTTACATTTGTATTAGCGAAACAATTCCAGAAAATCAATGATGTATCTTCATTTCATCCAAACTATCTATCTCAAGAAGTATAAAAAATAAAATAGGGAAAGCAACAGAAAAACTTTGATAAAAATGAGTGGAGATATTATGTATGAAATGGAACAAAACATACAATAAAGAAAAAAAGCCAGACACTGGTTCTTTCATGAATTGAAAAAACTGATAAAGTCTTTAACAAAAAGACAAATAAAAGAAAATAAGAGAAATTATCTTCAATATCAAAAATGATAATGGATAATTAAGGCATCATCACTATAGATTATAAAAGTATAAAAAATTATGGCAGGTATTATGCATAGCTTTCTCATAATATTTAACTTACTGAATAAAAAGTGTTCGTCTTTCTTTTCTACTTTTAAAGGATTTTCCCCCCAGCTTTATTGTGGTAGGATTACCAAATAAAAATTGCATATATTTAGGTTGCACAATGTGGTATTTTGACATACATATACATTGTGAAATACTCACCACAATCATATTAATTATCATATCCACCTCTCACACAGTTACTTTTTTTTTGTGATGAGAACTTTTGAGACCTATTTTCTTGGGAAATTTCAAGTATAAAATATATTATTATTAATTATATATCATGCTATACATTAGGTTTCCAGAACTCATTCATCTTGTAATGTAAGTACGTACACCCTGACACATGCCTCTTTTCTTCACCTCGTAGCCCCTGTTAACTATCATCCTATTCTGTTACTATGAGTTTGATGTTTTTACATTTAAATTCATATATAAGTGAGATTATGCAGTATTTGTCTTTCTGTGCTGGCTTATTTCACTTAGCATAATGTCCTACAGGTTCATCCACATTGCTGCAAATGGTGGGATTTCCTTCTTTTTAAGGCTGCATATATATAATATATGTTATTATATATATAATATATATGCAGACATATAATATATGCTATTTTTTGGAGAGAGGACAAAGGCTGATATCTACCACTCTGCAAACTTGCTGATGCCCTTACTTAAAATGAATAAAATTTTTTTTAATTTTTTTTCAACGTTTTTTATTTATTTTTGGGACAGAGAGAGACAGAGCATGAACGGGGGAGGGGCAGAGAGAGAGGGAGACACAGAATCGAAACAGGCTCCAGGCTCCGAGCCATCAGCCCAGAGCCTGACGCGGGGCTTGAACTCACGGACCGCGAGATCGTGACCTGGCCGAAGTCGGACGCTTAACCGACTGCGCCACCCAGGCGCCCCTAAAATGAATAAATTTACAGAAAATACAATCACCAGAATTAACACAACAAGAAAAAGAAAATCTGAAGAGTCCTATATGTATTTGTATAATTAAATTTGTGATTAAAATTTTCCCACAAAGTAATGACTTTTGGTGAATCCTTTCAAACATTTAAAAAGAATAAAATCAATCATACAAAGATAGAAATAGAGGAAACACTTTCTAACCTGTTTATGAGGCCAACTTAAATCTATATACAAAAAAGTTGACAAGGACACTATAAGAAATGAATATTTGGGGTGCCTGGTTCAGTCAATTAAGTGTCCTATTTTAGCTCAGGTCATGATCTCATGGTCTATCAGCTTGAGCCCCAAGTGGGGCTTTGTGCTGATAACTCGGAGCCTGGAGCCTGCTTCGGATCCTGTGTCTCCCTCTCTCTCTGCCCCTCCCTCACTCATGCTCTGTCTCTGTCTCTCAAAAATGAATAAATGTTAAATAATTTTTTTAAAAGAAATGAATATTAAAGGCTAAGCTGTTCCTGAATATAGATGAGAAGTCATAAATATAGTGAAGAGATCCCAGGAAAATATAAAAACAGGGAAGAAATCATGATGAAGTTAGGTTTGGTCGGTGATTAAAGATTACTTTAATATGTGAAAAATTATCAATAAAACTCACCAGCTTCACTATAATGGGAAAAAACAAATAACTGTTTTATTAGTTGCAGAATAAACATTTGATAAAATTACTCTTTCATGATAAAAATTCATAGCAAAAGAGGAAATTAAAAGAGTTTTTTTTAACTGTGGTTGAGTATTAAGCAAAAGTTTATAGCAAATATTATGTTTAATAATCACATATTAAAAGTTACCTGACAAATCTAAACATAAAGCTTTTACTAAACCCTGTATACTATGGCAATTAAGTTTAAAATATTCAAAAAGAAAATCCAATATTTATGGATAATATCTTTTTTAAATGTTTATTTATTTATTTTGAGAGAGAGAGAGTGAGAGCAGGAGAGGGACAGAGAGAGAGAGAGAGAGAGAGAGAGAGAGAGAGAGAGGCAGGATTCCAAGCAGACTCTGTGATGTCAGCATAGAATCTGACACATAGGACTCAGACTCACCAAGTGAGATCATGACCTGAGCCAAAATCAAGAGTCAAACCCTTAATCAACTGAGCCACCCAGGCACCTCAATAACATATTTTTAATGTAGAAAATGCAAAAGGAAATAGTGTTAGAATTTATACCTAAACTTAGCAAATCCCCAGTGAAAGGGTCTATATAAAGTCAACTGTGTTCTGTTTACTAGCAATAATCTGAAAATGAAACTTAGAAATGATACCATTTTGCTTCTAGTTCTGGAAGAACAGAGTAGACATATTTTACCCTATTTTATCCTGCTTAGGTATATATATATAAACTTTGGAAAAATATATGAAACAAACATTAGAGGACTTAGAAATATGATGAAAAAGAAGGTTGGGCTCTTTTGAGACCCCAGGACTCAGGAGTGAGTTTCCTATTTTGTGCTGGTTTGTTATTATTTGTTAATTTCTTGGGTTTTTTCCTCCTACATATCCCAGTTTAGTTGATAAAGAGGTTTTTTGCAGCCTAGCTATACCATAGGCACTAACCAAAAATACACACACACACGCGCGCGCGCGCGCGCACGCGCTATGCTTTTTTAAAGTTCTACCTGTAAGGCTGGTAGACGTTCAGCCCTGGAAGGACTAAGTTTTGACTACACCTGCTCTTCGCTGTCTAAAGTGAGCAGAACTCTGACTTCCACTTCACCTGTACAGTGAAGAGATAGTTTTGTCTCCTGGTTGGTGGGCATGTATAGAGGCTTTATGTGTAAACAGACTTACCACCATTCCAAGATGGCAGTAAGGAGACAGTTTCCTTCTCAACCAATGAATGGGCATGCAGAGAGGCTGTTAAGGGCAGACCCTGACTACAATCACATATAAACATTAAGGATAGCTGGGGTTCTATATCTTGCTGGCCAGGGGTTATCTGCAGAGATTATTTGTGTGAATACAGCCCAGATTACCATCCTGGTTTGTCAGTGATGAGCTTTAAATAGAAACCTAAGTCTCATAATAATACTGAAAATGTCCAGGATACAATAAAAAGAAAATAGTTCATCATACATCAAACATCAATTCAAATAAAGAAGGACAATCAACAGATACCAACATTGAGATGGCACAGATGATCTGACAAGGATTTTTAAATGCTACCAGAAAAATAATTCAATGAAAATTTATGAACACTCTTGAAACATAGGAAAAAATAGAAATCCTCACAAAAGAAAGAACAGATATAAAGAGCAAGCAAATAAAAATTTAAGAACTAAAAGCATTATAACCACAAAGTTTTTTAGAACTCACTTGGAGGAATCAAGAGGAAAGGAAAAAATTAGTAAACTTGAAGATACATCAATAAAAATTATTCAGTCTGAAAAACAGAGAGAAGATAGAGTAAAACAAATGGATAGAACCTCAAGGATGTGTTTAAGAAGAAAAAACAATCTTACCTCTAGATCAGCAGAATCCCAAAAGGTGGAAGTATGGAGCTGAAAAAAATATCAAATAATATCAAATTTAGCAGAAGACATAAAACTCTAAATTCAAGAGGGTGAGTGAACCCCACAGAGGATAAATAATGATGATGATAATAATAATAATAATAGCCACTGCCAGACACATGAAAACCCCCAAAAATTAAAAACAAAGAAATAAACTTAAAATAGGCTGAAGAAAAACAATGCATTACTTATCATGCCTAAAATATTCAAAGAATTCACACAAATCAATGAAAAAAAGCAACTCAAAAGTGTCTTGAAATTTAAATTGATGTGTCAACAACAAAAGATCATATTCAAATAACTGATAAATACATGCAAAAGTATACATGCTTAGTAGTGATGAGAAAGATGCCAATGCATCTTTTAAGATGGCCAAATTAAGGGAAGCCTGGGTAGTTCAGTTGGTTAAGCGTCCCACTCTTGATTTCAGCTCAGGTCAGGATCTCACAGTTCATCCATCGGGCTATGCACTGCCAGCACAGAGCCTGCTTGGGATTCTCTGTCTCCCTCTCTCACTGACTCTTCTCCACTTGCGCTCTCTCTCTCTCTCTCTCTCTCTCTCTCTCTCTCTGTCTTTCAACATAAATAAATAGAACATCTAAAATAATAATTAATAAAATAAATAAAAATGGCCAAATTAAATATTGAAATTGAGGAATGTTGGTAAGTTGGTGCAGAAATTAAAACTCTCATACACTGTCACTGTTAGTGGTCATTGGTACAGCATGGAAAACTGCATATTTCACAACCCTGTCATTTACCCCTTTGTATATATCTAACAGGTATATACCCACCTGTCACCAAAGAACACGCAAAAGAAAGCTCATAGCAGCACTACTTTTAACACCTCAAAACTTCACACAACTTACATCTCTATCAAATGATTAAGTAAATTGTGGCATACTAATTGAACAGAGTTCTATACGGAAATGAAAAAGAACAACTTGTTGCTGCATACGACAACTATACATCCCACAAACACAATGGCAGCCAAAAGAAGCCTGCCAGACATCAAAGTATAAGCTGTATTTTGTCATTTCTATAAAGTTCAAAACCAGATAAAAATAATCTATTGTGCCGTGTGGGCTTCTGAAGTATGGTAATATTCTCTTTCTTCATCAGAGTGCTTGTAAAGTGGCTGGATTCACTACACCAGGGTTCACTTCACTGAGTTTACTTTATACTTTATGTATACTTGAAGTTATCCTTACTTGCTCACAAAATTATCAATCAATCTCTAACAGCAATTTCAAAGTTTCAGAACTGAAGTATTGACAAATCAGTGTGTTAGGTTATGAAAGGAGGAATAAAATATTAGATGTGCTGAAAGATGGAAAGGTTTATAAATTTTTTTTTCTATTTCAACTTTAACAATTTTTAAGAAAAATATCAAGGAAGATATTAATGTTACCGGGTTAAACAATTAACCAATGTTCTAGTTAAGTAAGTTTTATCACTTAGGTTGATTCTTAGAATTCCCTTTTGGAGAAACTCTAATATCACTCAATCTGTGTCAAAACACTTGGAATTAAGGCTTGACTTTTTAAATTTTATGACAAGTCATTTGCTGGCCATATGAAGACAGGTTTGTCAGTATTTTTTGATGATCTAACAAGAGGTGAATGTGACATCTTTGTGAACTGATATTCATCATTATCTCGATTACTTTTTCTAATGAATTTTTAAAATTGCCATATATTTCAGAAATATTCCACAGGCAGAAATCTTCATCAAAATAAATTCAGTGTTTGTTAAGAAAAGAAGAGAATACTACTATTTTCAGAACACATACTACAGCCAAAATTGCTCAGCGTGAAGGCAGCATGTGTTGTTTTCTCTGGACTGAGTTGGGATTTAACCGAAATTCTCCCTGATGTTTTCCTGTATTTCTTTTTTTTAATGTTTTACTTATTTTTGACAGAGAAAGAGCGACATAGTGCAAGCTAGGAAGGGGCAGAGAGGGGAGAGGGAGACACAGAGTCTGAAGCAGGCTCCAGGCTCTGAGCTGTCAGCACAGAGCCCAATGTGGGGCTTGAACCCACGAACGATGAGATCATGACCTGAGCTGAAGTTGGATGCGTAACTCACTGAGCCACCCAGGCACCCCTGCTATATTTCAATATTAACATTAAAATGCAGTCAAATGTTACTTTCAAAAATTTATATTCAGTTTTCATTTAGACCAGTGCAATATTTTTTTTTATTTTCTTGCCAATACTTTTAATATAGACATTTTTTCCCTCAAAGCAATATACATACATAGTTCAAAAAATCAAATAGTATTACAGAGGCTATAGGGGGAAATAGAAGCCTCCTGTCTCATTGTACATTACCCCAGTTCCTGCTTTCAACTCTTTTAGCCAGCATTTATTTCTTACCAGATTTTTTTTTAATGTTTATTTATTTTGAGAGAGACAGACAAACAGAGAGCATGAGCAGGGGAGGGACAGAGAGAGGGAAACACAGAATCTGACGCAGGCTCCAGGCTCTGACCTGTCAGCACAGAGCCTGATGTGGGGCTCAAACCCACAAACCGGGAGATCATGACCTAAGCCGAAGTCAGACGTTCCACTGACTGAGCCACTCAGGTGCCCCTAGCATTTATTTCTATATTTCTAAACCACATAATGTTGTTACTTTTTTTTTTTCATTTTAGCTATAACTTGATTTCCCCTAGTGTAGAAAACGGTCAATTATTTCTTAACCCAACTTCAGCACATTTTTCTCCATGATAGCACAATTCATAATTTTTTTTTTCACTCAGATTCAAACTCATCAAGAAATCCCCGAGTTTGGTTCTTAGATGGTTCTCCTCTTCTCAGCATTATCTCATGTCTTGTTTCTTCTTTCTGCTCTCTCCCATACAGATGCTGATATCCTGAAGGTCTTGTGGCTTTTGGTGGGTTATCACCACCTGCTTGTAATTGGGGTCTTTAGAGTTTGTAGGAAAACTTCTTACCCAGTTTTGTTATGAATGTACACGGATTAGGGAGTTTGCATTGTCATTGCTCTGTCTGTTTTTACATGGTGATCTGGAAAGATACAAAATCTCTTCTGCCATTTACACCACCATGCCATCTGTCCAGTACCCTTAGACTTACATACAAAGCTGAGATAATAACACATGTTCCTACTTAATAACCATATAATAATTAACCTAGAAGATCATAAGTAACAATAAATACTGTTATTAAGGGAAACATAGGCTAAATTGCCAAAATGGACCTTTATATAACAAAAAGGAACTTTTCCCAATGAAGACTTATGTGATTATCACAGCCAAAGTAAGGTTTTTTTCAACATAATTCATCTTCTGGAATTTACCACATGATGACTTGGAAAATTGTCACATACAGACATTTTATCTTCTCTCAATTGTATGCTCATGTACTGCAGTGACTGTGTGTTCTTCATTATCATACTGACCCCCTAGCACTAAGGAAAAGTGGTACTAATGCTGATCAGTAAATATTTGTTGAATGAGGTCACAAATACATGAACACATGAGTTGATTAAAAATGATTTTTCTTTGATTAATAGAAAATTCTCACATATCTATAGACAGGTTACCTATATGTCTTGGAGTTAGCTTGTGTGAAAATTCAAAAGTATGTCAGTGAAATATTTGCTTTATTGATATATGACCTCCTCTCTTCTCTAAATACAGAGATTCCCAAACAACTGGATAAATAGTATGTGTCAGAGAAGAATTAAGAGAGGTACTTTATTGGAGTACTCTATTTTCTTCCTGGAGACAATCATAGAATAAGATTGACTTTGAAATTAGACTGTAGGGGCGCCTGGGTGGCTCAGTTGAGCGTCCGACTTCAGCTCAGGTCATGATCTCACAGTCCGTGGGTTCGAGCCCCGCGTCGGGCTCTGTGCTGACCTCTCAGAGCCTGGAGCCTGTTTCAGATTCTGTGTCTCCCTCTCTCTCTGCCCCTCCCCCACTTGCACTCTGTCTCTCTCTGTCTCAAAAATAAATAAACATTAAAAAAAAAAAAAGAAATTAGATTGTGGAAGCAGGCTCCTTTCCAGTTCGTCCCGTGTCAGATCTTCACAATGTGGCTGTATTATTCTGTTCAAAGTGAATTCTTACCCCATCAAATACACACATAATAACATATATGTCTAAAATGTTACCCTTACTGGCTGAGATAAATTAATTTCCCATTGTGTAATGTTTTAGATTGATCACTTCTTCCTTGTGATCAAAGGATGACTGCTAAGTACCATCCTTAATTTGAAAATTGAGTAGTTTATTATTCTGCATACTCATTGGACAGGCTAAAATAAAGAAAAAAGAAAAGGAAGCACCTGGACTCTCAGGGAAAGGTCGATGATGCCTGCTGTATAAAGGATATGGTATCTAAATGCACCCATTTATCATGATCGAAACATTTCAAGGAATTTGGAAACAGAGAGTATGGCAACCATAAATGGCCCTAGGACGCATTTGGTAAAAAATATATATATCTCATGTTTTGAGGCCCAGAATGATTAAATAATTAAAGCCAAAATTTCACATGGAGGCTGAAGTGAAACTAGAATCTAGACCTGTTGTTCAACTTTTTTCCCCTTCATTTTCTGAATTTGTCCCATAGCAAATATGTTTTGATTAAACTTCTGGTCTAAATTATTCATGCCTGAAAACCAGACATGGAATATTCCAGAAAAAAAAAAATCTTCTACAGCGGTCAGATAACAAAAAGTGTGATAAAGCCCACTGAGTTTGAAAAGAATGCTCAGTAATTGAGAGGTGATATGCTCTTGACCTGTGCCATCTATGCCTCCCACTTTGTTCTAAATTATAAAACTCAACATCTCCCTGAAATGTTCCAACTGTTGGACAGAAAATTCTACTAATTATAATTCTCAAATGGCATCACTTACGGTTATCTTTATCACGCTTATTCCCAAAACACAGCAAGTAATTCTATCATCCCTGGGTCCAGGCATATAGTTAGACAGCAGTAGTTGGTTACAGT